GTCAGCTGAAAACTTACTAACCATACCTCCTACGTTCACATCCAAATCATTCATAGAAATGACAAAGCAGTGGACCCAGCACCGATCCTTGTGGCACACCGCTGAACACGGCCTCCAATCTGAAAAGCAACCCTCCACCACCACCCTCTGTCTTCTACCTTCGAGTCAGTTCGGTGTTCAAATTGCTAATTCTCTCTCTATTCTGTGTGACCTAACCTTGCTAACCAGTCTACCATGAGGAACCTTGTCGAAAGCCTTACTGAAGTCCATATAGATCACATCCACCGCTCTTCCCTAATCAATCCTCTTTGTTACTTCTCCAAAAAACTCAATCAAATTCATGAGACACAACTTTCCACGCACAAAGCCACGCTGACTATCCCTGATCAGTCCTTGCCTTTCCAAATACATTAAAAAAATCATTAAAACAGGACAAAATACACTTCTTAAAGTCATAGTGTCATGGTACTATGGACAATCTACCTAGCCTGGACACTACAGGGAAATTTAGCATGGCTAATCTACCTAATCTGCACATCTTCGGACTGTAGAAGGAAACTAGAGCACCTGGCAGGAACCCACACAGACACAGGGAGAATGCACAAACTCCCAAGTCACCTAAGGCTGGAATTAAACCTGGGGCTGTGAGGCAGTAATGCTAACCACTGCACCACAGTTTTTTTTAACCAGTGCCACTGCGATTGGCCAAATGGCCTTTCTCTGTGCTGTAGACCTCTATGAGGCCATGACTCATCATTCAACTGTTGTTGACTGCCATTGTATAAAATCTGTGGTGAATTGAGAGATGCTTGGAGTAGTCACTTAAATCTGCAAATATTCAATTTGCTTGCTACCTAACTGCAGGTGTGTCACCTTAAAAATAATATTACTCATAGAGTCCCCAGTGCTATGCTAATCTTTTGTGACTTTTCTCTTCACAGTATACTATAATGAAAATCTCTCAATTCCTGTTAATTGACCCTTTTTGTGCTTCCAACGTTTTGATAAAGCTAGGCTGATGGTTCACACACATTGAGCATGGGAGAAAGTCATAAAAGCTATTTTATGCTCCGTTCTATAAATAGTATTTAACTCCTGGATTGTCAAGATGGCGGCAATGGCACAGCAGGTAGTTTTCAAGCTGAGTCCAGGTCAGCCACGTTCGTTATCCCTCTCTCTCCTTTTTGCTATTTTTTCTTCTCTTTCTTCATCTTCCTGACGTCGAAGGGAGACGGAAGTGTTGTCGGTGGTGACTCCTGGAATGGCGGTGGGGATTTGGCTGCAGTGATGGTGAAGCAGGGACTCCTGGCTGTGTTAGGCCCTGAGCATGGATTCTTTCAGCAGCTGCAGTGAGTCATTGACTGCTGGGGTATCAGTGCCTGGAGCAGGGGCTCGTGGCCACAGTAGGCCTGGATTGGGGACCTTACAGAAGTCCTGGACCTCAGCTGATGGAGATGAACTCTATTAAAGTAATTTCTTTTTATTCTTTCGTGACTCAAAATGGCACTGGATTGTGGCGACAAAACACTTTTCACTATTTCCCTAGATAGATGTGACAATAAATCATTCATATCAGTTCTAAATAACCTACACCCATATCTTTAGACTGTGATCCCTGGTCCTAGACTCCCTCAGAAATTGTTTACCCTGTCCAATCCTGTCAGAATTTTATAGGTTTCTATGAGATCCCCTCTCATTCTCCAGTGCACATAGTCCTAACCAATCTCTTTATGTGTCAGTGTCAGCATCCCAGGGATTGGTCTGGTAAACATTCGTTGCACCCCCTGCATAGCCAGACATCCTTCCCGAGATATGGAAACCAAAAGTTGCCGCCATCCTCCACATGCATACGCTCTGTCCCTTTGCTAAAGTTGACTATTTCATGGAGACAACCTTTAGCATTTACATAGCCTCTTTCACTACCACTGGGTTCTTTTTAAAAATATATTCACAGAATTTGGGTATCATTGGTCATGCCAATATTTATTGCCCATTTCTTGACATAGCGGTCGTGAGTTTAAGAAGGTGCTATCTAAAGCACATTGGTGAACTTTTACAGTGCATATTATAGATGGCACACACACTGCTGTATTGTGTTTCATGAATAGAGGGATTGAATATTTACAGATGTGGTGCCAATCAAGTGGGATGCGGGATGCTTTGTCCTGGATGGTGTCAAGTTCTTTTTTGTGTTTCTGGAACGGTATTGATCCAGGCAAGTGGTGGTGTTGGGGGGGGGGGGAAAGGTATTCCATCAAGCTCCTGACTTGCACCTTGTAGATGGTGGACAGGTTTTGTGGAGTCAGGAGGTGAGTTACTCACTGCAGTATTCCTAAGCTCTGACTTGCTCTTCTAGCCACAGTATTTGTATGGATAATCCAAGTTGAGTTTCTGGTCAATGGTGATACCCAGAATTTGATAGTGGAGGATTCAGGGATGGTATTTCCTTCAAACGTCATGGAGTGATGGTTAGACCCTCTGTTATTGTTGAAGGTGTTCTTTGCCTGGCACTTGTTTTTTCCAACTCGTCATCCAAAACTTGTACATTATTTGTGTCTTGCTGCATTTGGATAGGAGATCCTTCAGTTTGAGGGGTCATGAATGGTGCTGAATAGTGCATGTGGTATACACTGCCACTACTGAGTGTCAGTGGTGGAGGCCATGAATATCAAACATAGTCAACAAGGTGTTAGTCAAATTGGTTACTTTATCCTGCATAGTATAATTGGTATTCCATACTGTATCACTGCTAATTAAATACATTTGAAGTGTGCTTACTCACACCTACGTTATGGGAAATTTGACATTGGGATTTTTTTTTTTTTTTTTTTTAAATAAAATATATAAAAGGGAATGCCTCTTCTATTCACTGTTTGTCTGGGTCACTTAAAGAAGGGGACAGCTAGTAGGAAGAGGACAGCTGGTGGGAAGAAGGGTTCCAGGAGTCTTAGTTGATTGCCAACTTTCATATTTCCATTCATGTCAAAGAGAAAAGGGATAAGGTATGAGCCTAAGTTGCTTTAAATTCTACCCAGGCTGCAGTCAGTATTTTTTACTTCATGGGGGTCAATTACCTAGTCCCAGGAACTAATTTATACACAGCAAGCTCCCACACATCACACCGTGACAACCAGCTAATTTGTGTTTGGGTGGCTAGTGATGTTAACTGAGACAAACATTGGTCAGGAAGATTGATACAGAGCAATGGGAGTAGAACTGGGCAGTGCCAGAGATGGACAACCAGAGAAATGTGGGAGGAATTACTGGTTACTTGTGTCAAATATCAGGAAATATCTTACCACAAAACAAGATAGTAGTTACTGGTGATCCTGACCAGATCTGGGCTGGGGGATGGTTTTTGTACTTTGTGCAGACTCCCATTCTTCATTGCAACCCACTTTACAATATCTACCAGCCTGCCCAGTCAAACTCTCTGTAGTAGAAATGTTGCAGCAAACACTTGGATTTCTTCACTAAAAACTGTCCTCCCCTGGTCTCCAAACACACATGGCCATATGATCATTTTCTTCTATCCTCACCACATAGCCCACAGCCCTTCTTCCATCTCTGTTAAAGTCGTAAATACAAACTCTCAAAGTTGTAGCCAAATTACCAACTCCAACCTCTGAGTTTCCACTTAAACACACTGAACATTTCTATCACAAATCATTCACAGGATATGAGCATTGATTTCCCCTCCATCATTGGACTCAAAGGTCTGTTAGCTCCCATCTGAAATACAACTGAGTGGCCTATTAGCCCATTACAGAAAAAAAAAATCAAGTCAATTAAATTGCTTCAGGCCTGGAGTCACATATGGAGCATAGACAGCAAGTTCAGATTCATTCTTATGGTAATTCAATAGCAGGTTTAGTGGGGGAGGGGCAGTGGGAGAGGAAGTGGTTTAATCCAGTAAGTACTTAAAAAGTTGTACAATCTGCATTAGGTAGCTCTGCTTGAAAGAACTTCTGCAATAAGCAAGTCAAAATTTGCATTTATCTTAAAGAGGACGTTGTGAAACTTGACAGGGTTCAGAAAAAAAGTTAGTGAGGATGTTGCCAGGGTTGGAGTGTTTGAGCTATAGGGAGAGGCTAAATAGGCTGGGCCTATTTTCCCTGATGTGTCAGAGGCTGAGGGGTGGGTAATCTTAGAGGTTTATAAAATCATGAGGGGCAATGGTGAATAAAAAGGTGGTGATTAGTCAAAGGTCTTTTTCCCAGGGTGGCAGAGTCCAAAACTAAAGGGCACAGGTTTAAGAGGAGAGGGGAAAAGATTTAAAAAGGACCAAAGGGGCAACTTTTTCATGCAGAGGGTGGTGAGTATATGGAATGAGCTGCCAGAGGAAGTGGCAGAGACTAAAAAGGCATCAGGATGGGTATATGAATAGGAAGGGTTTAAGAGGGATATGGGCCAAATGTTAATTAGGATATCTGCTCAGCATGAACGAGTTGGACCAAAGGGTCTGTTTGTGCTATATAGCTCTATGACTCTATAGAGAGGAACCATCACAACACTGCCATCTACTGGACAAATGATGAGACAACAAGCATTTGTAAGACAAATCCCAACAAGGTTGGAGTGACCAGGGAAGTAATAAATCCATGTGAATGTACACATTTTCAACCAAAAAAAGCGAGTTGGGTTTCACAGGAACCAACGCTGAAGGCTCCTCAACATACCATCAAGAACATACCAAGTTTCTGAAGATCATGGGGTGTTTTTTGTTCACTCATTTTATGTTGGTGTCACTTATTGGCTGGCAATTATTGCCCATTCCTAGCTGCTCCTGAAGGTGGGGGTGAGCTGCCTCTGGATTTGCTGCAGCCCATGTTGCCCCAACTTACAAATGGTAAGTGGCATCCATATGATGTAGACTTATGTTAACCATAAACATGCTAATGATCACTAACAGATTGTGTTCAGACCATTGAGAAACAAAGTATCTCATTTGTTATATTTAAAGTAGCATGAAAATGATACCCAGGACTGGATGTACAATATTTTTTCAACTCATTTGAACTTTTAATGAATGTTTTCAAAACAAAAAAGTGTTTGTACTGATGTGTTTCAGCAGACTGAGGAATTTAAATTTCTTCATTACTTCTTGTTGCCCCATTTGGCCATCTTATTATTGAATGGCCCCTTCATGAAGCGGTCAGATTTTATATATGCTGCAATCTTCTCTAAAGCCTGTAAAATTAAGTTTTAAAAATTAGACATTTGAGAGCATACTATGAAATGTGAAAGCACCAACAGCTGCAAGTTCCCTTTTTATAAAGCATCCTCATTACTGTCAGCAGCTAATTTGGAGCAAAAATTGCACTTCCCAAAAAAACCAAAAATTGGTGCAACACTGAAATCCAATTGCAGGTATCACTGGTGAGCTGGCTCAGGACTCAGGAATGAAGATTGACTCGTTCAGCTATATCCTTTTATTCTTAAACTATTCAAAATGGCACCAGATTGCAGCAACAATTGAAGCTTTTCACTGTATTTCAGTGTTGTTCACTGCAGAGTACAAGTGACAATACATCATTGTCATTGTAGCTCCCTTCGAGTAGGGTTTAGCTTTTGTTCAACACTTCCACAGCTGCACAGCCACAACCAGAAACTCAGCATTTTAGCGAGCAGCAGGATACAATACATTTCAAACTCTACCTTGCATTATTGCTTCAATTCAGATACTGAATTTTATAAAAATTCACCTTCCCACATTACCTCCATCACCACAGGTCAGCAGTTCAATGATCCTCTCATTTTCATGTTATTACTTTGATTTTATTCTAGTCAATCAATTCAATGCTTAAAATGTGGCCAGTTCAAATTGCAGAAAGTGATATAAAGAGAGATCTTGACTTGCAAAACATTAGGACACCCCTCAAAATCATATTTCAAAATACAGCCCTAGACTGTTCAACATGTCCTGATAGTTTGAGTAAAATCCTTTATTTTTGGCACCTATACGTACTTAAATAAAGCATGAGGATTAGACTTTGACCCTAAAACAAAATTTTTTTTAAAAAAAAGGACCAGTTGGTCTGTTAACCTCTCCCTGTGCGAGCATGGTGCAACTTCTGCAGACCACGACAGATCTAGAGAACTATACAATTACTCAGGTTGAGGGCAATCCCAGATACTTAGGCAATTCAGTTTGGATGAGCATGCTGTGCATTTGTTTTAAAGATGTATTAACTGAATTAGAATTGTATTATTGCACAGCAATAAAGTCTTTTGCCCATAAACAGCTGTAAACCAAATTTCTTACCTCAAAATGCTCAACAAAGTCCTTAAGGTTTTGAAACTCATCTAAACATTTGGATTCAAACACACGATGCTCATCAAAGAGTTCATACATTAGAAAGTCCACAAAAGTGATCTGTAGAAAGTTAAAAGAAAAATTTAAAAAAAACCAAGTCTCTTATGAAGCTTGCAATGAGATTGAATTCAAGTGAATAAAAGGGGCTTATCCTCAGGTAAACAGCATAAAATTTATAACACTGCCAAATTCTATAGGTTAAAACAACAACTGAATGCCATAAAGTCCAAATTAATTTCTTTACCTAAAAGCTGTGTATATTTAGTTTGTTTTATTTCATTCACAGACCATGGGCAAGGCCAGTAATTATTGCCCATCTTAATTTCCCACAAGAAAAGTGGGAGTCAGCAGTCTTTGGAAACTGCTGCAGTTCATGTTGACAAAAAGGTGCTCCACACCACACTTCTTGGCGGAGAGTTCATTCAAACATTTTTGTCAAATTTCTAAAAGACTCAAAGCTTAAGCTCATCTTAAGCTGCTAACTACAATCCAGATGGGACACTAAAGCCTCAAAAGTAATGCAAGGGAATTCCGATCCTAATGCCGGCCGTCTGACAGGGCTCCCTGCCCAAAATGAATATTGAGAGAGAACATGGAGACTTGTATACTAATGTAGAAACAAGTGACTCAAAAAAGGATGGACATTGGCATATTGTAGCAACCTTTCTATTATTTACATTAGGAAATCATCCACCTTCAGTGTAAAGGAATGGTGGTGCTGGTTATATTAATGCTGTATTGCAGCACATTACTGAACCAAATATTGTTTACTGCCCTGTCAAAGTCAACCAATGTGTTCAGGAATACGTTGTTCCATTTCAGATTGATTTCAGTGAAGGACAGAACTGGAACCCAAATAAACTTATGCTCTTAAACCTTCCATATACAGCACATTGCCAAATTCAACAAGTGCTCTCCCAGCCTGATACTATAAATCACTTGCTGTTCAATTTCTGGGGAACGATTTGGGACTAAAGTAGTGCCGGACAGAGGGAGTGCTGAACATCCCAGATTAAAAGTCCAATGTGAAGAAGTGAGCACAAAGATGGTTCTAATCAACTTGTCATTACAAACTTCTGGAGTAAGTGGGACTTTAACCAGGCAGGGCCTGAAGCTGGGCCTCCTGGCTCTGAGATAGGGACACTCCACTACATCACAGGAACCCCCCATTGTGAGCACAAGTATTGGATTCCAAACCCTGTAATCCAACACAAAGAGGCTATGCAGCCCATCATGCTCTCTGCATAGGTTTTCTCCAAGCAATTTACTTTTTTCAAAATGATATTTTCTATTCAACCAGTTCAGAGATATCATTATACACCTCTGGAGCAGGTGGGATTTGAACTGGAGTCTTTGGACTCAGGCAGGGGTACTACCACTGCACCATAAAAAAAAGCACCTTGTGAGTACAAGCCTGTCTCAGGTATTTTCAGGGACCAATGTTCTTCCAGGAGGGTGAAACAGCTTCAAGAAAAAGATGGAGATAACTGAAATACCTCCACCAGAGGCCAGTATCCGGTCACCAAGTCACCCCTTATTTACACATGCACAATACATGGTCTCTGATCAGCCAGCTCAAAGCCAGTCCCTAGAGTCCCAAGCATGTCTCAAATTAATTCACATCACCTGAAATCCAAACACAATTACCAAAATCTTATTCAGTTACTGATCTTTTTAAAGAGTGCTGGACAAAGGTTTGATCATTGCTGGGATTCAAGCAAGGAATATTGGGAAGCCTAGACACAGAATAGGCTAGGAGAATAAGAGCAAAAAGTAAACAGGATGAACATTTAACAAGTCTGTAGCTGGGGTTTTAACAAGGATGTTCTAAATGTTGGTGTGTATCTTTAAAAGTTGCAAGCAATGCTGCAAGATTTTAATGGTTTTGAATGCTTTGGAGGGCTGACAGTCTTAAATTCATTACCCTCTAACCAGTCCAGATCTGCCTGGGAGCAAGTTATTTCTGGAGAGAATGCCAGAGAGAAACAAAAACCCCACACATACATAAATATTTAACTGAAAGAAAATGCTAAAGCATTGTAAATCCATAACAATTGTTTTACTTCTACCAATAGTATAGCTTCTGTTTTGCTGCACCCAAAGTACTGAACTATTTTTTATTCATTTGGGAGAGAGTCCCTAGTGGTCCTTGAGAAGTTAACAGTAATCTGCCTTAGGTGAACCACTGCAGTCTATTTGGTGTAGAGACAGCCACAATACTTATGGCCAGTGTTCCAGGATTTTGATCCAGTGACACTGAAGAAGTGGTGACATATTTCCAAGTGAGGATTACGAGTGTCTTGGTGGGAGGGGTGGTGCTCCCACATATATATATGCTATCATCTAGCAGGACAGAGGTAATGATCACAGATTTGAAAGGTGCTGTCAAAAAGGAGCATCTTGTATTTAGTACACATCACTGCTACTGAGCATTGGTGGTGGAGGGAGTGAATGTTTGTGCAGGTAGTGCCAATCAAGCAGGCTGCTTTATCCTGGATGGTATCAAGCTTCGAGTGCTGTTGAGGCTGCACTCATCCAGGCTACTTGGAGTATTCCACCACACTTGACTTGTGCCTTGTAGATGGGAATCAGGGTTTGGGAGTTACTTGTTGCAGGATTCCTAGTTTCTGCAATGCTCTGTAGTCACAGTAGCCAGGGAGACTGACATTTCCTGTCATTTACATGGACCACGTTTCTTGGGAATCGTCAGCCCAAGCCTGGATATTATCCCAGTCTTACTGCATTTGCACAGAGCATGTGGAGGGAGTTATGAATGGTGCTGGACATTGCCAAAGTGGGGATGTGCACTGCCTGTTCTGATGGAGGAAGGGTCATTGAAGCAGTTTTTTTTTTAAAAATATAAATTAAATTCATTCACAAGGTTAGGGAATCACTGGCTAGGCAGCATTTATTGCCCATCCCCAATTGCCCAGAGGGCAGTTCAGAGTCAACCACATTGCTGTGGATCTGGAGTCACATGTAGGCCAGACCAGATAAGGATGGCAGTTTCTTTCCCTAAAAAAAAAAGGGACATTAGTGAACCAGATGGGTGTTTCCCAACAATCAATGGTTTTCATGGTCATTAGACATTTAAATTTCAGATTTAAAAATTCAATTCAAATTCCAAAATCTGCCTTGGCTGGATTTGAACCAGGTGGACCAATCCAGTGATAATGCCACTGTCTCCCCTTGAAGATGGTTGGGCCTAGGACCCTACCTTGAGGAACTCCTGTACAGATGTTCTGCACCTGAGATGACTAACCTTCAACAACGCAAATTATCTTCCCAAGTGCTAGATATGACTAACCAGCAGATAGCATTCCCCAATTCCCATAAATTCCTGTTGCGTTGAGCTCCTTGATACCACAGCCAGCCTCATTATAATGTCATTCACTTTCACCTCCTCTTGAGTTCAACTCATGTATAATCGAACCAAGGATGAAATGAAGTCAGCAGCTGAGTGAGTGACCATGGCAGAACTCAAACGGAGCATTCATGAACAGGTTATTGCTAAGCAAGTACTGCTTGACTGGACTGTTGGTGACATTTATAAATTTGTTGATAAGCTAAAACGAAGACTGGAAGGAATTAGCTGGGTTGGAATGTCCTGATGTGTACAGGATATAGCTGGACAATTTTTGACTGTCAGGTAGAGGTCAGTGTTGAAACTATACTGGAACAGTGGCTATGAGCATGGGTACTTCTGGAGCAGAAGTCTTCAATACTATTGCCAGGATGTTGTCAGGGTCCATACCCATTGCATATCCAATTCCTTCAGCCATTTCTTGACATCACACAGGAATGCATCAAATTGACTGAAGACTGGTATCTGTGCTGCTGCAGACTTCAAAAAAAAAAAAAGAGGAAAAAGGCTAAGATGGATCATCCATTCAGATTATTGTGAACGCTTCAGCCTTCTCTTTGCATTCATGAGTCGGGCTCTCCATCATCAACGTTGGGAATATTTCAGCCTCTTTCTCTAGCAAGTTGTTCAATTGTTTACCACAATTCCCAGCTGGACATCACAGGACAGCACAGCTTAGATCTGGCCTGTCAGTTGTGGAATCACTTAGATTTTCTCAAAACACTACCAGAGACAACTGGTGTTTCAGAACAACACAGATTGCCAAATGGAGAAGTTACCATATTTACAGATATGCTGTTTTAGTCCTGTGTCAATGGAACTTCATTGCTCAACTTCAAGAGCCAAACTGCAACCATAACTGGACAACCACTAAAAGACAAGTCAATAAAAACCAAACAGGTAAGAGTGGGTCTCAATGTGGTGACTGTGAGGAGACAGAAAAAGAAACAAACACTTACCTTGTCACCTGCAAACCAAGGTCTTTTCCCCAGAAAGTCAGAGAACTGCTTCAATATGTTTGGCAGGCCTTTCAGATAATCAGCCTTCAGGTCTTCCTGCAACAAGTTAGACAACAAATAGTTACTTTCTCAAATCCTGTGATCCAGATTATCTTCTGAACAACAAACGTGTGGTTGCACAAAAGGTCATCACCTTGCAAGTACTAAAGTTGCAGGAATCCTGCTGTAGAAAGGGGCCAAAAGTCTGAATGTAGCTAGGAATTATTCATCTGGAATTGGCAACACTTCAGATGTAGAAGGTTGAAAGCCCATTTTGTTTTCAAATTCTCTTTTTGCACAGGTCACCACAAAAATGTTGTTTAATAAAAAAGGATCATACTAAACAAAACTGCAACTTAAAATATTTAATTCATGCTGCAAATTAATCTACGGCATCCCATGACTCAAATGCTAGACCATTTATCATTCAAGAAGGTTTAATTACCAAACACCCACCTTCAGAGCTGAGCTAATCACCCAAGGCACATATATATCAGCGCTTGATTCAAGGACAAATTTTAATTTAGCACCCACTGGGGAATGGAATGAATTAGTTCATAATTTATTGAACCAGTAGACAGTTGCAGCACTAGAACATTTACAGCCACTGAGAAGCAGAGTTCACTTGTAAAGACCTCTATTTCACCAGGACAACTTCCAGCTGCTTAAATGTGGCAGGGCAATAGTCCCCCATTCAGTATATGGCCCAGTGCCCAATTGTCACATTTGACATGTTGGAGAAAATGTGGCATGAGTCCAAAAAGGGGGTAATACTGACAACTGCATTAAGCACCACTCCCTGTGATAAGGTTATGTAGACTAGGTGGGTGAACAGCTTAGGTTCTCAAAGGGAGCAAGACCCATCCAGGTCCTTCTCAGTCTGTGTTACAATGTCTATCAGAACTGTTAGATGGTTGCCAATATGCAATAAATGCACATCTTGTTTAAGACAAATTTCTTCCCATTAGGTTACTGAAGTGGTTTTCCTTCACCAAACCAGCCCAAGTGGGCCCTCTAGACCACTACCCTAAAAGAGAATGATGGCAGCAAGCTAACCCCATGGTGAACATAGTGCAGACAGCTTTATGCAAGATGGAGGTGTGCAGTGAGGAATGGTCATACAACACCAAATACAATTAAACCACTCCTTGTCAGTGTTCATCTTTGCTCGCAGAAACAAAAAATAAATTTGCAAATATCAACATGTTGCTGCACTCCATACAACTCAGACTTCAAAGCTTCCTCCCTGAGGAGGAGTCAGAAACACTAGTTAAACAGCTAGCTCTGGATTCTAATCAGCTACTGTCCTCCATTCTTGTGTGCCTGTGGGGACATTTGCCATTTGTTATAATTATAAATCCGGCCATGCACAGAATGGTCCACCTCTTTTCACTTAAGTGAACTAAAAATAATGACATTTAGATAATAGATGTAATTGGAGTACTGCCTCATGTACCTAACTCCATGATGACGAGTACGTAGATGTGTTAGATTGCAGTTTGAGGTGCATAGAAATCTACAGAATCTTTCCCCACATCTCTCAAAGTAAGTATTGTGAAACTTCTCATAGTAAACCTGGAGAAGATTCAATCACTACTGAATGCTCACTTCAACTGTGGGTGGGCTGAACATCCTGCGATGCATATTCCTGCTGCCAAGGAGCAATAGTCTCCCTGTAAATGTATAACTGGTAAAAAAACAATGGACAAATTCTTAAAACAAAAAGAACCCAGTGAGTTAATGTGGTGGCTCCAGTATCAGGTATTACTGAGCCTTTTCTACATCAGGAGTGATCGGGAACTTTCACACATCGTTCATGACACCTGAAGGGAGTCCAACAAAGTATCCAAAAGCAAAGCTCATGGTGAGTTTTCTGTGGTATTTACTCTTAAAAAGGCTGATCATTTCTTTCAATGAAGTGGTGATTGCTGCAGAACGATGAAGTATGATGAGAATACATACACATGCTCATGACATTGTTAATCTGAGACAAATAGCCATATACTATCGAGATTGATGGGACAGGAATGGTAGAAGAGTTGTCATCACCAAGACCAGTACCTACAGCCAGACAATAGTCACTTAGACAAATTAAAGACAAAAATGCAACAGACTCCAGAGTAGGGGCACATGGAAGCAGCCTCAACAGCACAGGATAGATACTGACACCCATACCTCCTGCCAGGCAGAATCCATGAGGACTGGCCTATATAGAATCAGCTCGAGCCAACATTAAGTTACCATCCGAAAAGTTAACATTTCTCTTTCCACACATTGCAGACTTGATCATTCTGGTATTTTCTGCTTTTGTTTAAGTTGCATTACATCTGCAGCAAGGATTTCACATACTGTTTAAAAGGAGGTTAACAGCACCATCCAGTGGCTGCTGTTGGTCCTGCAAGTGTTACCATTATAGCGGTAGTTAATTCAAATCAGTAACCGCTTGCTTTCACACAGGACATCAAACACTGAGGAACAGAAGGAGATCCGAGGGCAAGTGATCAAAAACTTGGTCAAGGACATAGGTATAGAAGAGGAGAGAAGACATCAAGGGAGGGCAATCCAGACCACAAAATGTAGACACAGCTAGAAGGTATAACCAAATGGTGGAACAATAAACTTCAGGGATGTTCTAGGTCCAGAATCAAAAAAAGATCAAGGAGATTTCAAAAAGATTGTCAGGAGAGAGGAAATGCAAGAAGCAGGGAAGGGCCAGGTCACAGATTTAAAACAAAAGATAAATTTGGTGAAAAATAAAAAAAAAGGTGTCAGTGTTAATTTAATTCAACCAACACAAATGGTTCAAAGTTGACAAATTCTCAGGACCTGATGATCCCCATCCCAGAGGAGTTTCGAAAGAAGTGGCTTTTAGAGGAAGTAGATGATCATCTTTCAAAATCCTAGAACTATGTCTAGAGACAGGAAGGTCCCAAATGTAACCTCATTGAGCAAATAAGGGAGGCAGACAATAAAGGAACTAAATACCTGATAGCTGGTCATGTTTTTCCACACAACTGATGCTATCCATTATAATGGACATAACAGCACACTTCCAAAATAATGATCTGATTGGGCATAGTCAACATGGCTTTATAAGAAGGAAATCATGTTGTACAAACCTCTTAAACAGGATCTTACTTGCAGACTATACAAGAAGGATATTATTTGGATAATCAGAAGGCTTTCGCTAAGGTCCAGAGTTGGTCAACATAATTACAGCACATAGGATTAGCCATAGATGAAGGATTGGTAAACCGAAAGCAAGCAGAGAATAGCAATAAGTGATTTGTTTTAATGTCAACAGACAGTGACTAAATCGGGCACCTTGAGAAGCAGTGCTTGGGCTCCAGGTGTCACAATCCAAACTCAATGATTTGGACATGGGGATCAAATATAATATTTCCAAGTTTGTGATTGGCAGAAATCCCAGGAATGGATTTGAGAGGGTGGCACAGAGAGGCCTCAAGAAGATGTAGGCTGGTTGAGTGCTTGGAAGGACACAGTAGATTGGAATATAATGGGGTGGGAGGTTATCAACTTTGGTACAGGCATAGAGTATTTCCTATAATAGTGAGAAATGGGATAGCACTGGCATCCAAAGAGACCTGTGTGGTCTTGTTCAGAAGTCTGAAAGCCAACATTGATCTGCAACAAGCAATTAAGGCAAATGGTGTAATCATCTTTATTGCAAAGTGACTCAAGCACAGGAGTAAATACATCTTGTTTCAATTGTCTAGGGCACTGGTGAGACCACACTTGGAGCACTATCAGGACTGTCCTGCCAAATTTGGAGGTGCCATGAGCTCTCAAGCAAATATGTTGACCAGGTCATTTTTCATTCTATTACTTTTCCCAACCCCATGTATAAATCACTGGAATCACCAAAATGGTAGAGAAGTGAAATCAGACTGTATGGAAAGCTCAAAAAGTTGCAATGGGAGCCTAACTTTAAAGTGGATCACCACAACATGAAAAGCCAGTCCAAAGGTGTGCAGGTTAGGTGGACTAGCCATGCTAAACTGCTCAGTGTCCAGGGAATGTGCTGGCTAGCCACAACAAATGCAGGGTTATGGCGTATGGGTGGGCTGCTGTTTGGTGAGTTGGTATGGACTCAATGGGCTGATTGGCTTGCTTCTACACTGTAGGGGTTCTATGATTCGTACTCACAATCAAGAAGTGGACTGAGATAGGGACTTTAGGAGTATACAAGCCTGCCTTCAGAACCAGCACAATCTGTGGAGGAAAGAGAGCCTGTATGGAGGAGGAAGGTGCTGAGGATCCTGTGGTAAAACCATCACCCCCTTCAATCTAGCACCTGTTGTAGCTGAGGCTTCCAGAACATTCTTCTGGGCTCAGTTACAAATGATGCTTTGCACACTGGTGGCTTGTCCCCATCACTGGGGTACTATCTCCTGTTGTACAAAAGGTCCATCTCCACAGCCCCAAATCAGAGACAAAACCAGAAACAGAGATCCCACACCAATCAGCGACTGAGGGAAGTGTACCATCACTGGGCCCCAGACCAGGTCTCAGTGAAAATTAAGCAGTGCATGGAGGGAGAGAAACATGGCAGACTGTCCCCAGTTCAGTACAGGCAACCTGTCTCTTGACAAGATCATAAGTAGGAAGAGCAGGAATAGGGTATTCAGCCCTTTCAGTGTGCTCCACCATTCAATGAGACCATGGTGAGCTGACATTAGTTCTGAGGAAGGGTCACCAGACCTGAAACATTAACTTTTTCTCCTTCACAGATGCTGGCAGACCTGCTGAGCTTTAAGAACTTTGTTTTTGTTCCTGACATTAGTCATGTCCACTCTGCTACCCTTTCACCATAACCCTTGACTCCCCACTGATCAAGAGTCCACCTATCTCTGCTTTAAAATATGCAGAAGGACATGCCCCCACAGCTCTGTGGCAAGGAGGTCCAAAGGCTCAATACTCAGAAGAAATTCCTCTGGCATTCCTTTATTCTGAGACTAGACTCTCCCAGGAGGAAAAACATCCCCTCAATATTTACTCTGTCAAGCCCCTTAAGAATCCTCATTCTTATAAACTCTGAGTAGAGTCCCATGAGATGAGATGGAACAGAGTTTTTCACAGGATATGGCAACATGGTAGAACTTCATACTAAAAACACCAAGGCCAGAGGGGGCTGCAAGGAGCCAAACCCCCTCGACACTATCAAAAAGGAAAGTCAAAAAAGACCAGTGAGATGTTGGGCAGCAGGTACTACTTATTACTAAAACACAGGCCTTACACTGCTCCATAGACATGTTGTCACTTTTCCATTAAAAGAACAACCTTCCAGGCAATTCCAAAAGCTTTTACAGCATCTTTGAAGTTTGATGGCAATGCTGTGTAAATGGAGTGGTTTTGACAATCTTTTCTAGTGCCCAAGCCTGGAGCATATTTGCACAAATACTTTTTCCTCTAAAATCCCACAAGACCAAAATGCTACTCAGCTTCTCAATAGCTACGTCTGCAACTTCCAAGTTTCCATTTTTCTTGTACTTAGCCTCAAACTTTCAGCCTTTTCACTTGCATACAAAAGCACCTGCAGCATCAGTGCCAAAAGTAAAAATTATTCATCCCAACTGCTCAGAGGTGTCAATAACACATCTGAGCAGCTATGTAGCTGGTAGCCTACATACAAGCCGATGTATCCAAGTAGGAAAGCAAATTCTGTCAGACTTGCACACAGAGTTAGTCACCAACAGTGGCCAGGCCTTCTCTCGACTGGAATGGAATGACCTTGAAGACAAACCATTCAGGGTCAATAAAGAACAGGCAGTCTTAAGGTGCCAGGCCAGCTATCCCATAGCACCACTACTCTTACCTGGTAATAGCAATTTGTCTGGTAATACCAACACCAGCAAGATGCTGCAAGCCAGAAGAGATGGAGACATGGGAACCTGGGTTTTAAAAAGTTCACAAAATGGCTCAGCCAATAAGATGATTCTGACCAAGTATAAGTTATGTTTGAAACCAGCTTGTTTGGATGTCACAATGCCCCCAAACAGGTGGGACTTGAAACCCAACCTTCTAGCCTGGGGACAGGGACACCACTAAGCCAGAACAGCCCACCAGAATGGCCTTCCCTATTTTTTAATATTGGAAGTTGTTGACATCATTACCTATCAAATAGAAATACTAGAACAGACCAACAACATTCATGGTTATAAATCTGATGAACGGTCCCCCCAACCCAAAATGTCAGCTTTCCTGCTCCTCTGATGCTGCCTGGCCTGCTGTGTTCCTCCAGCTCCACACAGTGTTATCTATGACACCAGCATCTGCACTTCTTACAACCTCATGGTTATAAATCTCCAGTTTGGATTCATTCCTTCAGGTGGAAAATGGTGTCATTAATACATCACTAAACAAGAAAAGGTTTCCTAATTTGCAGGGTGCAGTTTGCTGGTTTTGATTGCAGTGACTAAGCCAACTTGATCACATCAATGTAACAAATTCTAAAATGAAACATCCAGCAAGTCTGTTGTTTGTTTTGTGATCCAAGATCATTTTTGATCATAAAATAAGCCATACTACACAGGCAGGAAAAATTAAACAATCTGAAAAGCCAACCAGCCTGAGGGAGGTTCTTGTGGTTTCTGCATCTGAGGCAAGTTCATACAAATGTAACAGTTAACAGTCATTGACTACTACTAATTAGTCAGAAATATTATTTAAAAAGGGGTACTCGAGTGTGGATTTTACAATGCCAGTGTTTGAAAATGGACTCAAGGGATAGCTACACATGCCTGTTCCAACACATTTCTCTACATCAGATGCTTGTACCTGAAGGATATCTTACGTAGGATAAGAGATCAGACTATGAGCTGCTAACTGGTGCCGAAGGGGAAAATCCTCTGTCTGACAGGACACAATGGAGAAATCAGAAGTCTGCCTCAGAAATTATCAGCAATAAATTTCCACCTAGACAGGCGAACCAGCTAAGAATAATTACAGAAGGTGATAAATCTGAAACAGAAGCAGGAGTACTCAGGTCAATCAATTCTCACGGAGAGAAAAAGGGGCAGCACCAAACAACCCATTCTGCTCTCCCCAATGTTAGCTGACTGACTGCCTGCCTGTTTTACTGGTCATATTAATACTGTTTCAGTAGAAAATGACTGCTTTTCAGCCATTTCTCCTCAGAGAATAAATGTTACTTCCCACAATAAAAAACAACATGCAAACCAGCATGCATGAAGCCCACACAATATGAACATTTGTGCTGCTGTGCCTGTGGGAGACACAGGAGAGCGAAGGAGTGTGCATGTTGTAATACACCCTCTGGGAGTCAAGTTTGCAGACTGTCTGTTCAGTGCAATTAAATAGGACTGAGAAAGGGCTTCAGTGAAGAAAAATGTACTGAAACTGTTTAACATTTGGCAGACAGGAGAAGCAAATTTATTTCAGATTAAACTGAAGGGGATTTTACAAAGAATTTGCATACTGTTATGAATTAAAAAACAATCCTGCAGTGACAAGACTATACCGTAACCATCTGATTACTTAGACAAGTTGGTGTCAGAATGGTTAGTTCTAGTGAATAGGGGTTTGAAATAAGGAGCAATCCAGGGGAGCTGGCCAGCCACCTGTCTGCACTTTACAAGGGCAAAAATATGGGCAATGGGGCTGAGGGGAAACAATTAATGGTCACCAACCGCATCTGAAAGTCAAAGAAGGAAGCAACACTCAGTGATAGGACCCAAAGAGAGGAAAAAAGTCTGAAGTGGTTAGGAAAGGAGGCACTGGGGAATCCAGCACAGCTCACTTGGTCCATCATTGATGTTCTGAATAGTTGTAGTCATTGGCCAAACGGATTGTCAAATCAGGATCAGCTACTTTTCTTTTTACACTGACCATCCCAGCAGCACCTGCTACTGGCAATAAAGCCCCTGAGCTAAAAACCCCAACATGATTCTTAGGCAGTGACTCTTGTAATGGCAGACAGCTATGGTGATTACTGTTTTAAGAATGGAGGCAAAACATGTTCCAAGAATTACAGAAAACACAGCTACACATCAGGGAAGGAAAATAAATGGAATTTTTACTGAAGGAGAGAATAGAAGGAAATCTAAAAATAATATACATAACAAGTATGCATAGGATTTCCATTTTGAAATCTCATTACCACATTTTAGAAAAACGTGAGGGAGGAAAGAAAGAGAGATTAGGCAATGTGTAATTTTCTGCGTTTTTAACTAAACTAAATGAACAAGGTCAGAGACAAGTGATAAAATAGGTAATCAGTTGGCATTGGGGCATAAAGCAGAGTGTCAGAAGGTGCAAAATGATGTTCCACAAGCATCAGTGCTGGGACTACTTATCACATTTTACATTAAAAATTTATAGTTGAAATGAAAATTGCAGTTTCTAAAAATTTGTGGATGACACCAAACTGTTTTCTTTTGGGAGGTGGAACAATCAATACCAAGGAGGACTGCAAAACAAAAAAAATATGGGAGGACATTAATAAACAGCAGAATGGGCCAACCACAAAAAAGTTGAGATAAATGGGCAATTGTTTACCTTGTAACTTGGTGCAGGATCAAGGACCAAAATGATCTCCAAGTACAAATATATTGTTAAGTGCAAAAAAAGTTGTACCATAGGTTAGCAACATATGAAGAACGAACAAACTGATCACTAGGTGTTATTTCTTGAAGAATAGAATTCAAGTGTATGAAAAATCATGCTAAACCCACAATGCTGTCAAATGAACACTCAATAAGAGTACAGCAGCAGAACTGATTGCTATATGAAAGATGCCTTGTGTTTTTACCTTGTATAAGGGGAATACAGTTCAGTATTTGAGTTGTGTTCTGACTAGTGCCTTGCACAGCTTTTGCAAGACCTCACTATTTTTATTCACCACTCCCTTTGAAATAAAGGCAAACATTCCATTGCTTTCTGTATTACCCATTAGTGTAGAGAGGTGACCTTATGTAGATCCTTAAAAAGGATACAAAGCAGATATTTCCTCTCATGGGGAACTGTATATCCAGAGGTCATACATGTAAGGTAGTCACCAAAAAAACTCCATAGGGAATTCAGAAGAAACTTCTTTGCCTGAAGAGTGCCAAGGATGTGGAACTCATTAACATAGTAATTGGTTGAAGTGAACTGTCTGGATGCATTTAAACAGTTGCTAGACAAGCATTTCAGTGAGAAAGACTAAATGGCTATGATAAGTCAATGTAGATGTTAAAGATATGAGTTGCAAGTGGAACATAAATCCTGGCAAAGAGGTGATTAGGGCGAATGGTCTGATTTTTGTGCCATTTATCCTATACAATCAAATGCGAGATCAGCACAGCATAACTGGAGACCTGTACATTCAAGAACAATCCATCCCCCATTCCCACCTTGTACATCTACAAAAAAGATGTAAAATTCAGTAACTGATTGCTGAAATAATAGAACTCACAAAATCAGGGTTGTATGCAAGTCGGACAAAGCCCATGCGGAAATCCATCGCCTGGTTCTCCAACATATCGACACGGATCTTTTCATCCTCGGTCTCACCCACTGCAAGCAGGCGGAAGTTAAACAGATTTATCCAGGTGAAAACAGAAAACAATGGGGCATCCACAAAACTACGGCAAGTAACATGACACTAAACTAAATACAGAAGACAGTGAACATTTACATTGACTTTGTTACAGCATTGTTTGGTGTTAATTGAGTGGCATCTTGGTAGGAGGTCCAAGTGACATGGTGAGATGGTGGCAGAATCAGGAAACAAGTACACCGAGGTCTGTCTCGATGTCAGGAGCAACTTGCATCAATTTCTTTTAGACTTTTCACAAGCAGGGTCATGAGAATCTTACTAAAAAGAGTGGCAAATTCCCAGCTGCAGGTGACCTTTGAATGTTAAGTGCCTTGTAAATGGCTAAGCTCACCTCATTAACATTCAGCCTCCCATCTTACCAATGAAGCTTGACAGTGAGAAAACTTGACACAAAAACCAGAGTTTCCATGTTGCAGATTCAGCTCACCACCTGCTCCAAAACAATTTCCATGGGCAGTAAATGCTGGCCTAACCAGTGAATCCCACATTCCATGAATGAAAAAATTCAGAAGAATGCCTTTTTGTTTCAAGCAATATTATTAGACAGTAATTTGACAGGCTTGGCCTGAGGCAATCACAATACATATTATTTCCTGTTTAACAGGTTTCAGATGGAAATACAAACCAAAAAGTCAAAATGCATCTGACCTAGCAGCAGAGAGGGGAAGATAATAATTTAGGAGTCTGATTTGCATCCTTGTTACTGTATTCCCAAAAGTGCATCCTGCATTTGCTGCACCCAAAAGAAAGAACGAAATGTTCTTAGTTAACGCCATTAAATCTAATGAGGTTATTTTGGATGGCAGGCCAGGCAGCATCTGGAGGAAAGGAGCAGTCAGTGTTTTGGGTATTACCCTTATTGATCTGTTTGGAAACCTGCAGCTCACTTAAGAATTGTTCCACTTACAATTGGAGAGACTGTAACTCACATTTAATAAGGAATTATCATAGACTTTGCATTGCAAGGGTTGAGAGAATTATTCAAATATTACTGCAGTTCTTGGATATTTACAAGAGAATAAATAATGAGACTGAAAAAGTAACTTTAAATTTAGAGTAAAGTTATTTTCACAAATCAGATAGATTTGGAAAAAACCAAATGCATATTTTTTAAAAAAACACAATGTATTTGTGCATGCTACAAGCTTAGTTGTACAGAAACAACAGCTGAATTTTTGACAAGTTGCAAAGAAAAAGACCCAGGCTTGGAACTATTGAGCAGAGTAAACTTACCAAGCTTGTGTTTCCTTGCAATGTAACGCATAATCGCATTGCTCTGGGTAATTTTGACATCCCCATCAATTAAATATGGGAGCTGAAAGAGAGTTTTCACAATTATAGATGAGGGCACAGATGCAATTAGCAAGAGATATAACAAAAAAGGTTCTGCTATCATAATCTGCATTTTATCAGGGCAAATTCTCAAGATCTTTGAACAGGTTGTTTGTTGAAATAAATTCATATGTAAATCCATATTATTGCACAGGCAATTTAATTTGAAAGCAATATCAAACAACCATTTATTATTGTATTGATCCCTTTGATACATGAATGCTGTCCTTGGAAAGCTCTGAAAAATTAATTACCACAAAACCAGCAGATACTATTCAGTATACATCATTGGGAATTAAAATACCATTCATAACAAGATCAATGAGCTATTTATGATTTTTAAAACAAAAAAATTGATGTTTCTACAGCTCATTGCTTAAAGTGCAAGTGAGCAAGATACTATCAATATAGCTAACTAGTTGTGTTACTTTCCATGTATTCAGCATTCACCGGTATTTCAAATCTCACAGTAAGGAGATGGGGTGAGCACATTTTAAATGGAATCTGAGACTGATAATTCCTTGCAAGAGAAAGACAGGATAGAAAAATCAGTAATCCAAATCTGATGAACAACAAGAGAAACTACATCTGTTCAGTGGACTGGTAATCCAGAGGCCAAATCTAATGTATAGGCAGCATGGGTTTGAATCTCACCATGGGAAATGGTGAAATTTGAATTAAATAAAAACATGGAATTAAAAGCGAGCTTAATGGTGACCATGCAACTAATGTTGAATGCTATATACAAATAAAAATCCATCTGGTTCATTAATGTTCTTTAGACAAGGAAATTTGCTATTGCATTTAGGTCTGAGCAGAGGATGGCAAAGGCACAGCAAAAAGGTCAACTTTTAGTTGCCCTATAGGGAATAACTGATACCCACATCCCATGAAAGAATTTTTAAAAGGCTAGGATAATCACAAGAGTAAAAAAATACAATTCCTATTTTCAGTTTTTAAACCACCATTTTCCACAAGAAAAGGGCAAAGTCAGAGATTAGTGACAACACTTACATTTGGGAAATCCAATCCCAGCTTCGGCTTCACATCAAACCAGCAAGTTTTGTCATAATTTGGAGCTAGAAAACACCAAAACTGTGTTAACATATTGTCAGATTGAAGCTCATGAATAAGTCAGGCAGCTAAATACTCAATTCCCAAACACCTCCCCCCCCCACCCCAGAGAAATATACAGATTAAAATACTTTAACTATCACAATTCATGCTTAATATTCATCAGGATACAAAAAAATAACATCCAAAATACTTCCCTAGTCCTGGTTTCCTCTACTTCATACTGTGAAACAAACAAATTGGGAAAGTAGCAACATGGTGCACATAGTTATGGCAACATGATAACATTTTATGTTATCAAGAGGTCACTTTAAAATGACAGGATAATCAGTTTCTATACCATTGTTGCAAAGTGATCAGGAGTTTAGCAAGCCAGTACAAAAGAAAGTTATGAATGTAACAGTTTTCTGATTGCATTGTCACAGTAGATTCAAAATTCCTTTGATGTATTTGTTCATAGGATGTGGCCATCAGCAGCAAAGTCAGCTTTTATTGCTCACCCCAAAGTATCATTGAGAAGGGGGTGGTCATCTGCCTTTTTGAACTGTTAGGTGTACTCATGTGCAACAGAATGCTGGAAGACAGACAGCAAGCAACTAGAAAGGCAAATGGCACATTGGCTTTTATTGCAAGGAGAGTGGAGTACAAAAACAATGGTGTCTTTATAAAAAGAATTGTCTAAGGCTTTGGTGAGACTACAAAATGGGAGCTGTGTGAAGTTTTGATCTTCTGTAGAAAGGAAGAATACACAGCCTTAGAGGCAGCATCGTGATGATTCACTCAATTGGATCTTGCACAGTTGCATAACAAAAGGCTGATTAAATCAGGCCTTTCTGGAGTTTGGAAGAATGAGAGATGATCTCAATGAGATAAATACTTTCAGAATCATCTATGAAAGGTTGACAGTGATCCTCTGGTGGGGGAATCCAGAATGTGAGGAAGTCTTAGGATAAGGGGTTGATCATTTAAGATTGAAAGCAAGAAATTTTTTCAGAGGGTTGAGAATCTTATATTGTCAAGCCCACAGATGCTAATTTGTCAAAAAATATTTAAGGCTGGAATAGACAGACTTATGGTCTTTCAAAGACTTGAGCAGGATGGGGAGCTGAGCCCAAAGACCACACTATGGAGAGAGAAGCAGAAGGGACAAACTTGCAGTTTATTATTGCCAAGTCTGAAAACAGTCCAGGTGAGGAACAGTGATGTCTCTTCCATTGCACTGAAACATGCAGGAACAGTCAGTTGCTTGCCAAGTCGTACAAAAAGCCAAACGCCAAAAATAACTGCAATAGAATATTTGGAACATGCCAGAGGCAGGTGGTTCAGGAGTTCTCCAGCAATCCCAAGTCACATGAATAAAAGTAGGATACAATAGCCATATAAATCAGGGGCAGGAATAGGCCACTCAGCCCATCAAGCCTGCTCCCCATTAAACCTAGTCTTAAGGTTCAGACACAAGGGGGAACATCCTTCCCATATCCAAGGTGTCAACACCCCTCAAAATCTTCTGTTTCATTAAACTTGTCTCTTGATATTCTACATCCCAGCAAATACAAACTATCTTATCCAACCTTTCCTCATAAGACAACCCACACATTCCAGGCATTAACCTCAAGCATTTTCCAAACAGCTTCCAGCACATTCACATAGTGGAACATAAAACAGCACAGGGACAGGCCGTTCGGCCCATGGTGGTGTTGTGTGCCTATCTAAAAGGCCCCTTAAACACCCCTATCATATCTGCCTCCACCACCATCCCAGTAGCTTATTCCAGACTCCTACTACTGTGTAAAAACATGCCCCTCTTATTTTAATGCATGCCCCTAGTTTTAGGCATTTCAACACTGGGAAAAAGACCGTCAGCCATACATAGCCCCCTCAATTTTATAAACTACTATCAGGTCTCCCCTCAGCCTCTGCTGCTCCAGCAGAAACAACCCTAATTTGTCCAACCCTCTTCTGGTTATTCAGGGCCCTGAGCTAGAAGAAATTTCACATCATAACAAACAGACAAAAATTACCTTCTCCACATGAATACAACTTCTCTTCATATGCTGTTTCAGTATACTCCAAAAGGAAGCGAATTGGCTGTGCCAACTACAAAAGGAATTAAATCAGAGAGAGATTTTAGTGTAATTAACATTACACGACACAATTTTGTAACAATCATGAATTGGAAGGCAGGAAGCTAGAATTTGTTTGTAAAAAAATCAGGGAGAAGAGTGTGTGGTTCCTTAAGAAGTAAAGTACTTTAGGCTTAAAGATTTATACGTAGCTGAATATGTTTCCATTTCAGAACTGGCTGTACATATATCAATTGGCTGAGAGATTGGGAATCTTAGGCATGTTTTGATGTTTTGGCAACTAGCTGGAATCAGCCAATTAATTGAAACCAAGCACTTTGCAATTGAAAGCCAATTGAATTTAAATCTGATACAGTTTTGACAACTATGGGCCATTGCTATTGTAAGAAAATGGATATGTCATCCAAGGTATACAAGGAGGGGGTTTTTGAAAAATGAGAGAGAGCAAACTGCCATTTGAGAAATAAACTTATGGCTCTCAAAAAAGAGAAGCTCTCCAAGAAAGCACCATCTTATCCATAAAAAGGTATCACAGCACCTCTAGCTAAGAGTCCTCACAGAAGACTTCACAGGAGAAAATATCCCTCACAGCCAGATCAGTGGAAGAAAGGCGTTTATGACTTGAGAACAGAAGGGTATGTAGACTTTGACAGACTAAGTTTTAATTTATATTCTCATTACTTATGTTTATTGAAACAGCATACTGTAGAATTTGGCTCAGTTAGGGAAGAGCTGGTGGTTTGGGGGGGGGGGGGGGAATAGTTTGGTTTGTTAGTAATTCTGTCAAATTTGTTCATTGTTAGGGTTAAATAAATAGTTATTTGTTACTTAGAGTGAATATCAGAGATTCTCTTTCATTTAACCTCCACTTCTCTAACAGTTTAGGCGAGGCAAGCTTCACTGGGTGTTTCGGGTTTAATTATTAAAAGGCTTCCTCTACTCCCACCATAGCAGAGTGGGGCTTGCATTTGTTTAATTATCAGATGAGTTTGACCTCCCCTTCCTAACAATATTCAAGTAAAACAACAAAAAACCAATGATCATTAAGGGTTCTTAAAGACAGTGCTGTCTAAAAGATTTTACAATCATCTGTAATACATAAAGACAGGTTTTACAGAATTGCTCCAAGCAAGATAGAAACAATATAAGACAAAGACAAATGAAGAGAAATAAACTCAGGTCTGGCAGCATCTGTGGAGATAGAAACAAAGTCTGAAGTGGCTGAATATGCTTTTAGACAAATTAAGAGGATCAGAATTATTGCTGCAGTTGTTTCAAGATCAAATAGCTTCTTAACACATGTAACTGTGAATGCAATTTAAGCAGATTATCTGTGGCATCAGAAGTCAAGACTGCATTTGTGGAACCTCTCCAGATTTATTCTGGCAGCAGGCAGATTCAATTCAAATAGAGGGGTATGGTAAGAGATTATTAATCCCTTTAATGCAGTACTCTGAGATTGTTCAGGATTCTATTTATATTGCTTCTACATCTGGCTAGATGCCACTATCTTAAACCACTGAAGTGGTTACAGATTCAGGATTGAGAAAGGCAATGGTAAAGGCATGGACGATTATTTCTCAATACAGAACAAATCTGTACATGTTGCTGGAAGAGAGTTGAGCCAGAGAGCTACACACCTAAAATAAAACCAACAGGTTCATTCTAAGAAGGGAAAAACAGTTGACTTGGAAAAAGCAAAAAACAAAATTGCTGAATCAAACCCTACAGACAGGGGTTTTTGTTTAGCACCAAGATACCTCTATCCAGAATAAAAGCAAAATACTGAAAATCAGAAATACTCAGCAGGTCAAAAAAGTACCTGTGGAGAAAGTAAGTTTATAATATTCAACTCAAAACAAAACCCCAAAGATATCTCCATTGCTGAAGGAAAGTTGAAAAGTTAACAAAACAAATTGCTGGAGAGACTCAGCAGGTCTGGCAGCATCTGTAGAGATAAAGCCAAGTCAACATTAGCTATTGGAGTAACCACATGCATACACACTTCCACAGCATCTGCAGTTCTTTGTTTTTTTTTTCTGTCTAGCAGTTGAAAAGTTAATCGGTTTCTCTCTACAAATGCTTCCAGACCTGCTGTGCATTACTAACCACAACACAGAATGCTCAAGAAATCCAGCAGGCCCCCCACTAACAGTGCCAGACAAAATATTAACTGTTTTTCCTCTCTACAGATGCTGCCAGACCTGCTTAGTTTCCCCAGCATTCTCTGGGTGTTTCAGATCGCCAACATCCACAGTATTTTGCCTTTATAGAAATTTTACCAGCACTTCCTGTTTTAAAATGATTCTAACTAGCACTGGCACAATTTGAGAGATGAACTGAAATAAAGGGTGTCAGCAGAACTCTTAATCTACAAGGACAAGAGTCTTACAAGAAATCTTCAAATCCTACTATAGACATTTCACACTGGTCACCGAGGAACTGACTCCAAGAAAAATAAGCACCCTAGTTACCAGGCAAATTTATATGTTAGCTATTCCAGTAGTTACAATCGTGGGGGTCAGTAAGCTCAGTTGGATGGCTAGCTGGTTTGCCATGCAGAGTAACACCAACAGTATGGTTTCAATTCCCCACACCAGCTGAGGTTACCATGAAGGGCCCTTCTTCGCCACCTCCCCCAGTGACCTTCAGGTTAAACCACCACCAACTCCCTTCCTCCCGAGAGAGCAGTCTTGAGGCTTTGGCAAGTTTACCTTTAGTTACAATACAAAAGTCATTGTTAGTATGGGTGATTTTTTTTAAAAAAAGTATCACAGAGGCTGAAGATTACTTTGGTTAGCTCACATGGCCTGATGATCAAAATTCCAGTTTTCTATTCTGCCAAGTCCTCACAGTTGGCACAATGAGATTTCTTGACACCAGTTGCAAACTTGGCTAATGTTTTCCAAACAAGCTAGAAACAATGTAATACAAAGCACACAGAATCCTGTGTGCCTGTTCAATAAGTTACAGATTTAAAACTGAGCACCCAGTTTACTGCCAACAGATAGAGACATAGTAGCAATGACAACATTCGCAGCAAAAGCAAGTAGGATAAATCCTAGACAACAAGGTGCAGGGCTGGATGAACACAGCAGGCCAAGCAGCATCATAGGAGCAGAGAGGCTGACGTTTCGGGCCTAGACCCTTCATCAGAAAAGGGGGAGGGG